ACTTATATTTGTACTTAATGTTAAATTACTATTTATTTAATGAAATTATTACATACCATGTATTTCTAGATTGTTAAGGAATGCTTTATACTCATTAGAGACAGTTACAGCTGTAGCACTGACACTTTGTAAAGTTATTGACATGTCCCAATGTGAAACAGTATGTATCCTTTGCAGGATATATGTATTCAGCAATGGATATGATATTTCAGATGTTTCAGACTTCAATAATACATCCTGTGTGATATCACAGTATAATTACAATAAAATATGCATAAGTAACAAAAAATATAAAAAAAGCTTTAATTTCTTACTATTGATATTTTTCTTGCTATACAAAGGTAGAAAGCACACATGGAAGCATAAAAGTATGCTTCCAATATTTCGACAGATTGTATGTCTTTTTTGAGAATTACAAATATATTCCTTTTTTCAATATCTATCAATATTATATATTTTCTGTTTTCAAAAAATTTTAATAAAAATTCCATTTCTGTGAATGAAATTATATTTCTTTTCAAAATATTTGCGAATGATACACCAATTTTTATATCAAAACCATGTATGTCTCTGGCTAAAAATAATATCCATAAACTATTAGAAATTTGTTCTTATATACAGTAAAAACAAATGATTAAATAATTTTAATGCCTCACTAGGATTTTTAAGTAAAAATACTGATTCTTCCTTATTTACTTTCCATGGCTCAGGAATTTGCTCGTTCATCATGTATTTTTTAACAATTATAGCCAGACGATCTTCATTGAGTGTATCTAAACATAACGCTTTAACCGCCGAATAATTTGCATAGAGATGGACTGCTACCAGGAAGAGATACAGTTCTAGTACATATCTATATATATATATATCACTTCATCATTATTAAAAGAATTCGTAATAGCAATCAGATACGATAAGTATAGATACATACTGTCCATCGTGGAATAAAGATAATATAAAGATTCCAAAGAATGATGCGATTAGATTTACACAAGTCTCTTGACTCCCGTCTTTTGCAGAGACATCTGCCACATTATTTTGTATCGCCTATGATAAGAAAGTAATCTTAGCATAAAGCTAATATATATATATACGAATAATTATACCTGATGATGAATCAATGCTGTTCTCGTAGCCCCACCAGCAACACCGACAATGGACTTCATAGTGGTCGAAATACACAAAATTATAACAGAATATGAGGAGAAATATGGTACAAGTAATTCTATTCCTTTGGCTATATCATCCAAAATATCAGCAAATAGCCTCCATTTTTTACATTGTCCATCTAATTCAGTTCTATAATAGAAAGAAGCAAAATCTTGTTTAGCATTACTTAACAAAAGTACAAGTAGTTTGTTAAGCATTGCGTAACAAATATTTTTAGAGAATATCCATTGTTATCTATTCTTTACCCATTCCACCATGCAAACATTATACTCCCAATCATCCCAGTACCACTTTTCAAGATCCACGTTATTGCTGCTGCCAAAGGTGTAGCATTTGACTCTCCGACTCCTATCCCTTTCATTATAGAATGAGTCGTCAGCGTACCTGTTATAGTACTGGCAAAAGCCTGTAAAATGTTAATTTTTTTCTTCATGAATCACTTTGTCAATGCAAAATAGAATAATCTTATTATAATGTATTAGGTGTTGGAATTAATTCGTAGCGTTTTTTAATGAAAGAATGTTATTTATTTCACATGAGCATTAAAAAATACATTAATGAAAGTACTTCCCATCACTTGTAAAACGCTACGAATTAATTCCAACACCTAATATTATAATAATACTGTATTATAATAACATAATTATAGAGTATCAACTAAACATATGTCAAATATGTTTACTTGGAGATTTAAGCTAACCTGCACCGTGTCCCATATCTGATACGCCGTGTAGTCAGGATGTACACTGTTCGGATATCCTTGCGGCAAAAATATCTGTTTGAAGACAGACGTAATCCGAGAATGAACGGTTTGTGATTCGGTGAGACCGAATTTTCTTTCACTTGTGCTGAAATCATCTGGACAACAGGTGTCAACTGTCAACAAATCAACGCAGAGTTAAGATGTGACTGCTATGACACGTAGAGGATGATTTAATCGATTATCATCAAGTACATCACGAATACCTTACCATTTGGTTTCAAATAAACTATCTCTTTCTCGTTCCCGTAAGTTTCGCGAAAAACAACGCGCATATTCGCAGAAAGAATGCCGTGTTAAAAATTCACTCCATTCACTCAGTCGTCTGCTATTTTAGATACAGGCATGTGTCTACACACACGAGTAAGAAGTAAGAGTGAGAAATTGGCCAATCACAATCGATTATGAGAAGAATAATCGTGATTGGTCAATTTCTTACTCTTCTTACTCCATGTAGACAACGCATTAATTAAGGCTTTAGCCACTTTAATTTAGTCAACAATTAGCTCAATTGATAGAATTGTAGTATTTCTACAACTAACTAAAGTTACAATATTTCTTTTTAATTGATGAATTAAAATGTAGAATTAATAAAGTTTATTAATAAAATTAATTCTATCCACATTTTAATTTATTACCGCAAAAACGATACAAATAACTTGACGAGTTAATACCTTTAGAAATTCTTTGCTGCTTCTTTCTTATTGCCAAATATCGCACAAACATCGCTAATTATTCCGTTTAATTCGGCAATACACGAATCTAATTTTTCTTTGATTTTATTTATATCACTTTCTCGATTAGCACTTATAATGGTTTTCCATCTATTACTCGAATCCATTTCGCAATCGATTTTTACACTTTGTGAGTTGTTTTCGCGTTTACGAGCGCAGTTCACTTTCTTATTTTCGCAACTAAGTTTAACAATTTCTTCTTTATGATTTCGAGATTCATGTCGTAATTCCTTTTGTTGCGCTTTCGAATCATTTTTATGTATTAAAGCTCTTCCCAGCCGCAACTTTTCAAGAGGATTTATTTTCACTTTGCGATACTTCAAATCATCTTTCGGTTTTTCGTCGTCATGCATATTTTGCATTTGTACGGATAATCCATTATCGTTTCCATAAGTGATTCTTTCTATTTTCTTCTCATTCATCTTCCCAATCTCGTCTTTCTTTGTATTTGCATCACTTACTTTTTCTTTCATCACGTTATGAGATTCGTCGCTTATTATTGTCGCACATGGCAATCTATTCACTTCAATTCGTGATTCAACATCAAATTTATTCGCTGAAGCTTTTTTACTCTTTGCTTTCCGTTTCAGACGTCTTTTCGATTTCAATTTAAACCAGTTGAGAAGAAATCGACCTACGTGATTACGACGTTCGATTGAAACGCATTGTACGCCTCTAGAAATTCTTTTTCTCTTAATTTTCGGTGTAAAAACATTTACAGAACTACAGCCCGTCTCGCTAACGACCTCGTTTCGATTCTCATTAAGCTTCCTCAGCTTCTCATTTGCAACACGTGAAGTTCTCGCGTTCCCAGTGTCTCTTGCATCTCCCAGTCTCTCATCGGTTTCTTTCCCGGATTTTTCGGCGTCCGAAATGGACTTTCGATACGTTCCCGACGGTTCAGACACGCGCGATCTATTTGGCCGTTCATCATCTTCGATTGATTTATCGTCACGCGGGTAATCCTCTTTAAATACGGCCACCTCGTTCGCCGCTTTTACTTCCCGTGCACGTTTCGCGAATGATAAACGAGCGGATAAATCAGTGCCGCCTGGCGAATCGTCCCTCTTAAAATTTCTTCGCGGCTCGTAGCGTGCACCCATTCGATTTTCTTCCTTTTTCGTCGAATGATTAAATCCTGCTGGTGTTAAACTGGAACATCAAAATGTTTTCATGCGTGAAGTATTAATCGGTAACAAAAATATATAAGTCGCAAGTCAATTTGCTCTTATTATTTTGAATATAAATTTTACAGCATAGAAGGTAGATTACATTTTAACGACAAAATCAGCGAAGAATAATTTAAGGATTAATTTTTTGACGAATTAGATTGCATTAAAGAAAAGTCTATTTCATATTTATTCATGGAAAGAATGCTTTTGCTAAATTATCTAAAAAGGTAACTATAATAGCAGCAAATAAATGCAGATCTGAAAATAATTAATGTTGTTTAAATTATTAATTAGATAAGACACAAATGAATTGATTACTAAAATGTTAAAACTTTTTGCAGCATTATATTGTTATCAATGTTCAAGCATTCTAGTAATTATTTTGATGATTTAACGAAAGTATTTTCAGAAAGTATTTTATTAGCTAAATTTTTAGATATTTCAGTAAAACTGTCTTTTCATTTATATCCAATATTTACAATATATTCTAAGTAATAAAAATTTATTTACAAAAAAAATTGTAAAAATATCTTAATTTCTCACTAATCATACCTTGTTAAATTATTCGTCACAGCTGAATGAATTATGTTTTCATTTTTAAATGCGACGATTGCTTCTCGTAATCGAAAGATTCTGATATTTAGTTGGGTTACAGCAATGATGATATTATCAATATTAATTTCTGCGTTCTCAGATGAATAGTAATGCGAGTTAGAAATTAGTTCGTTATTTGTGTCCGCAATATGTGTATCCATCGGCTACTTTTAAACTGCTAATTATGAAAAGGAAATAAACTCTGATAATATTTAATACTTTAGTTATTAATACAGTAATAAATAATATTTTATGTGTATAATAATAAAAATTTATATGTTATTTTACAAAAATTATTCTTAACGTCAATTAAGTAATTTTATTATCTATCAGAATTTATTTCTTTCCTAACCATTGGAAGCGTAATTATTAATTAACAATGTCAACGATGCGCCGTTTGTATAATAACATCGCATCGACGTTAAATGTCAAAATATGAACGATCTTTACGTTGAAGATCGCGCGTTCACTCAATTTTGAGATAACTAATTTTCAGAAAAAAATTAAAATGTAACGAAGGAAGAAAGTAATAAATTCAAGATGTAATTGTTGTGTTAAAAAAATCCTGAGATGGCCGAAGATAACATCGATGACATCCTGGTGCGCCTCGACGAGATCGAGAAGCTGCAGACAGAACTTCGACATTTAGTACCGCGTGTTACGAGTAACTCATCTAAACATTTGCAAAATGTATCTCACGATTCATCCACGTCGAATCGTTTCCCATCCCTCTTCACGTTTCCCGTAATTTCGAACTTTACATCGACTCCGAAAAACGAACGTGTGCAAAAGTCAGCCGCACAATTGAACCTCAACAACAAATCGTCGAGCGGCAACCGACGTTCGACGATAAATCTGAAAAATACAGGAGGATCTCAGAGCAAAACAAGGGAAACAAATGTTTTCAAAACTCTATTGAGAAGCAGCAACAACGTTGCCAGCTCACACGTGAGAAATTCTTCGGTCTCAACATCTGTAGCGGATTCGACGACGTCGATAAGGAACCGTATCGCAAATAAAATGGTTAGGGATCCACGAGAAGCAATTAAAAAGAGATTAAAGAGCGGAACATCGAAGACTATAGCTGGATATAAAACACAATGTGCAACTAGCGAGAGATCCAATGTGCAGTTATCCGGGAATGAAAATGTGAACTCAAGTGAAGGGATATATTCTTTTAAGCTTCTGTTATTATTTCCTTTTTTTTTCGATTTCTTTTAACTTATTGGCTAATTAATGTTTAACCCTTAATGCATACAATTTTCCAGTTTTTCACTATACACGATAGGTCGTTTATGCTCCAGATTAATTTTCATTACCTTTATATATATTGTATAAGTATTTATAAAGATTATATTAAGTAATTTTATATATATATATTAGGTGTTGGAATTAATTCGTAGTACAAGTTGTTATTTAAAAAAAAAGATCGTTATTATTTAGTCAAATTTAGTACTTCTAAATTTAATATTTTAAAAAATAAAAAAGAAACGCGCAGGATACATGAATGACTCAAATCGTGTATATTAAGGCTTAATTTTTTATTACTTGTTAATTTTTTAATTTCTTTTGATTCTTGTATTCTCTTTGCAGATATCAGATATTCAGGTTCATGAGTTAAAAGCTACAGAATCACAGGGCACACATCGAAAAAATTGGTATTGCACGCTTATCGAACGATTTATGGAACAACTGAATTACTGTTTTATAAACAATAAGAGAGTGACCGTCCCATATCATCATTTGGGGAATAGAACACCCAGAAGAGTGCAGATACTACATTCACCAACAATTAAAGAAACAGAAATTCTGCGATTACACGAATCTGAGGCGAAAATGTTTGTCAATTAAAAATGTTTTAAAAAATCAATTAAAGATATGAAATAAAATTTTATTAAATTCCGTGTTTTTATCAATAATTATAATATATAAATTTTAGAACGATATAAATTCTATATGATATAAATATCTCTAATTTGAAATTGAAAAATATTAATGACGTCTACTGTACAGATAAATCGATCTATCACATTTCTAAATTAAAAAATTATTACTTCTCTATACGTGTCAGTTTTGAACGTATAAAAATGGATTTTAAAATTTAATTGACCAATTAATATAAAAAAAAAATAGAAATAGATTAGTTTTTGCATTTAATTCATTTAGTTTCATATATTCTTAGTATTCAGCTAATGAAATGACTATATATAGCATTTTTGAATGATATTTTAGACAATTTTCACTAAAACTTGAAACTCAAACTTTGAATGAGAATCTTTTGATTGATTTATAATAAAAAAAATCGCAAATCATCGATAGGCAGAAGAAACATCGATAGCTCACTCAAGCCAAACTATCGACAACAATCGATAGTAATATCGATATTTATCCACCTCAACATGACGTCGAATCGGTTAGTCGAATAAAAGCTATTTAATAATTCATAATTTTCAGGTTATCTATACATCAAAGCAATCACACAAGTCTGCATTGCTTTTATTTTATTTATAAAACTGTTGTGTTATCGTCATATGATGTAAAAACTGTCATCATTATTTCAGTTGATTGTGATTAACCAAAAAGGATGTGACCATAAATGTTTCAATTACCAAGGAATTAATGATTTCCATTACGGATGATGTTGAAGTACACATTTGTGGTACGATTATATTCTTTGGAATAATAATACAGATATATTTGTATTAGCAAACACAAAAATGGCGCTTATCAACATCGAAGGAATTGATCCTTGGTAAATTTATAAATTATATTTTATAATATAACATTTATTTACATATCCAATCTATTATATGTTTGAGATTTCAAGCAATGAAATTACCTCTTTTATTTGAATTAATAGTTATTAATTACTGTAATTTAATTATATAATATACACCACTTACAAAGAAATTGATTGAGACCTGACTATATATTAGGCTTACGGAATATGACGCATGTGAGAAACTATTCCGTGAAATTATGGAACAGCTCACTATGCGTGATGGAGAACCAAAAACATCAAAAGTTTATGCCAGCTTGTCAGCCAATATAAGATTGCGTATGAAGCAATACACACGGGAAGTTCAGCAATTAAAATGCAAAGTGGAAGAAGCTTCTAAATTAAAAACAATGTATTCTTCTGTTTATATATTTTATAGCATTAGTTTAGACTTCAAAATAATAATTCTAAAATGATGAATTGTTTAATATATCATCTGTGTGACAGAACATTAGAGGAAGCTGAACGTCGGACGAGGCAAGTGGAACAATTGCAAAGCAAAGACATTCAATTACAAAAATTATATGAGCCACGTACAAATGATTATATGTCGTCGCGCACTAGCTTATTAAGGGCAGGCTCATCGGCTTTCGCTGATGGAGGCACAACTTCTTGGGCTGCTGACGATGATGATGACAAGCCATTAAATGTTCAAGTATCTGTTAATGATCTTATGAGTCATCAAGAACGAGTATTGATAGGTACGTAATAATTCTTAGAAAAGAAATTAATAAATATATTGTATATAATTTTAATTTTCTGGAAATATTAATAAATATACTGTGCATTATTCTACTTTTTTGTAGAACAAGATAAAGGCTTAGAAGAGTTATGTAAAGTGATAGCTCGCCAAAAAGAAATTGGACAAACAATTAGTAATGAAGTGGATCACCAAAATGGTGAGTAGTATAAAAAAGATTATATTTAGATGATGTAATATAAAAATAACTTTTTAAAATTGTATTATATTGTAATTTAGAAATAATTGATGATCTGGCTGATCATATGGATAGGACTGATGAATCTTTGATTAACAAGACTCAACAGGTTCGTAATATTAATTCCAAAGATCGTACATGTGGTTATTGGATAGTGATACTTATACTTTTTATTGCTATTATTATTGTTTCTTTCGTATAGTGGATATTGAATATATTATATTAATCCTATTATGAATTGTTATAACAATTCTTAATTGTTGTAACGATTCTAAATTACATCAAATATTTACAAATAAAATAAATAAGAATGTAATATCTATCAATGATAAGATCAATTAACTTTTTATCTGTTTACTTACATAAGATTGTTTAATGATTTATGAAATTAATATTGTATAAATAATAAGATGTATATAAATGTGAAATAATATTTACCATTTGTTAATACTGAATATTTATTTGATATATATCATTTAGCGTCTGTTTTTATATATATTGAGATACTTTTAATTATGTAAAGTTTTACCACATTAAAATATATTTAATTAACATTAAGAATAGAATTAATTATTTGTAAGAGAGCAAATATTTCTATAATCTTAAAGATAAGCAAGGACGACTTGTGAGATGTTGGAAATAGGAAATAAAAGGTTGACATAATCAGACTTGTTAAATATTTTTCATTTTTCTTTTTTTTTGTCTCTTTTTATATCATAAATATCTATCCTGAATCTGGTTCTATGCGAATTTTCTCGGCGCCATAGGGATACAAAGAAAAAGATCGCTATTGTTTCTGCGCTTAATTCATTTAAATAAAACATACCAAAAAAGTCTAGACTGCTTTTGCCAGATACATCCGCTTTCTTAGTTTCGCCAGCATTTGTAATGGATAGTGTCTTGAACGTGTGTTGTTTGATACGTTCTGCTGGAACAATTGACTGATGAAAGGAATGCCTGGACTCTTTCTTTTTACAACTCGACGCAAATTATTTGGATTACTATTGTTGTCTGTAGGAGACATGCTATCAGATTGAAATACATATGTACAATTGGCGCAATAGTTTTCCAGCGGATATATCGCATAAATTTACAATATCGTCCGATTTCCTTTGTTTCGCAAACTGGATTTATTTTTAGTATAGCTGCTAATCGCCGAGAGCATGTCGCTCTTTCATAACATACAGTGAGATCTCATTACAACGCCCCGCGTCGAATCTCTGAGTTAATATTGTTGTACTGCAAATTTCCTTACATCGAAATGCTCGCATATTGGAACATCCAATTGCCATTGAGTTCAATAAAATCTCTGCTCTGCCTATATCTCTGGTTACAACAGAATTTCGTTGCGCTAGCTAGCTATTACTAGAATTGATTTTTTCTTCAACACAGAAATCGCTACAAACGTCACATCAATTATCCAGATTTTCGTACTGAACCAAATGACTTCTTGGTCATATAAGAACAGTTCTACGGATACCTGTCTACATTAACAGCCGATCAAACATTTATGCAACAGGGGATCATTTCCCTAAACATTAATCAAAGTTAATTGATATTCAAATCAATGCTCTGCCTCTTTCCGAAGACAGAGAAAAAGAGAAAAAGAGCGAAAGAGACAGTGGATCAATTAGATCTCAGTTAACTTTAATTAACTTTTGGCGATAGCTGCTTACACGACAGCGCAAAGCAAACACAATTAAAAATTTTTTTTCCCAAAAGCATCAGTCGAAAACATTCAGAATTTCACGGCGAGGAACACGGACATCTCTTCCGTTTACAGGTAGCTGCGTAAATGTAGAATAGATTGCACATCAATAACGTAGCATACACAGTGTTAATTGTGTGGTTCCGTAGCGAGACCAAAGTGGCTTGTGCGATGACTCCCTTAGTTAAGATCAACATCTCTTACCTCAAACGAACTCTGATATCCTACCCTCCCTCTCTCTCTCTTTCTGATAATATATATATCTGTATATATATTAGAATATTTTTTTTCATTATGTCAAATGGGTCCCGTTAGCCGCTAATCGCTTCACATTTATCGCCACTGGCCCGAGTTAAATGCGTCGATTCGTGTTCTCAATAACGTGCTCATTAACGAGGACGACGACGACGACGACGACAACTTTATCTAGCTAAACATTGAAGAACATCGAACTGTTTATGCGTGTTCAAATCCCTGCAGTCAGTCTGAATCTAATTGACAATTGTGTATACCAAAGGTATGTGTCTCCTTGTGCTGCTTGCTTGAGTTTTTGTCCCTCTTCTTCTCTTCGAATCTCTCTCTTTTTTTACATTCAGTTCGCTAACGATCGCTAATATCGACTACGTGTGTATGCGCAGGTACATATTATATGGTACCGAGCGTACGATTTTTAGCGTGAACTTTCGCTACTCTCGTTTATGGATTTTTATATACACAGACTACATTATAGATACTCAATTATAGATTTAGAGCATAATTATATGTAGAGTGTTCCATCATTCTTGTAATTCCAACTTATTAATATTCACACAATTTTCCTTTGTCTTTTTTTAACTAACATCTATTTATGGAAATATTTCATTTTTTAAAAGAAAGTATAAGTATAAAAAAGATTCAATATTTTTATAATAAAATTATCATGAATTGGATTTATTGATTACTACATTTTTATGATATCAAGGCTGTATTTTGTTATTCACTGGAAGTACTGAAAATCTATAGTACAATTACTATAGATTTTCAGTACTCGTAGTGAATAACAGAATGTATCCCAAATATCCAGGGCAGCATTATATAATTTTTCCCTTGGGATGAAAACGTGACAAATAAAAATTTTTACTTTTCACATTTCCGCCATAAGGAAAAATAATATGATTGATATCTTATAAATTTAAATATCCAGACTGAAAAATAAGATTTTTATCATCTGTTTGTACATCTCAGCAAACGAGAATGGATTAAAATGGATTGAAATTTTTTTCTATCCGAATGCGTATTTTAAATAGCGAATACTTTTTTTTAGATTTAATTGGATTTAATTGGATTCTAAATTCAATTGGATGCAGTTGAATTGGAAAACTGCATTCCCTATTCAAAATTTTGAATTGAACAGTATTCACAATGCACAGAAAAAGTTAATTATTTTTAGATTAAAAAGCATTTATTTTAATATTCGTGAATTAATATTTCTGAAAATCTGAATCCATTTCAATTAATTTCAATCCATTCTCGTTTGCTGGGATGTTACGCGATCCAAAGAATTTTTTAATGTATATTTTCATAATAAAATCATCCATTAATCATTTTCAAGAAAAAAAAATCGATTTTTCATTCATAAGAATTGATTGTTAAGAATTGACAGGAGTGAAATGGAACACTCTACATACATATCCTTGCATATCTTTAATTTTCAGATTAACACAACCGTTAACGTTCTGATTTGGACATAGAGAAGCACGAGTGTTCTGTATTAGAACACGTGTAATAATTTTTCATTTTACTTCCGCAATGAAACAACATTGGTTGTGTGTGTTCCAACTCCAAGATATTTATAACGCTCATTGTAAATAGTTCATTGTAAACACATCCGTAAACTGGATGTGTACAGTGGATGGTGGCATTTCTCTCAGGCTCTTAAGTTCGTCACGCTGTTAATGTAAGAGCTGTATCTTCTGTTATCGAAAAATACAATGTGCCGAAAATTGCATAATCATGATAATTAATTTAACGATTTCTTGAAATAGTTTCACAGGAAGTATCCTAAACGTGCGCAGGACGAAATGTCCATACATATATACAACAGGAAATCGTTCGTTACAGCAGGGATATTTTTTTTCTAGTCCCATTTCTTACGTTCAGTGGCGGATTGGAACATTTCGAGGCTCTCAAAACGTTGTTCTAAACAAATGAATTAAAAAATTATATTACATGTTATATGTATAAAATCAACGTATGTTATTTAAAAATGTATGTTATCTACTACAGGAACAATTTAAATATCTAATATTTAAATATATATTACGAATATTAGTCTATCAATTGTATAATTAATTTCAATTATTTATGTAAAACTGTGAAACATTTATTATGTCTAATGAGTAATCCGCCACTGGATACATTTTAGTTTACTTCTACAGAGGCAGTACCGCGTGTTTCTTTGAAATATTCTAGATAATCTGTATCTGCCGTGTACTCCTACATTCGATACAGAAGACGCTTTGTGGAAGAAGAAAAGCAAATCTCACTCAAATGATAGCGAGAAGCGCCATTCGCATTAACATACGGCGATGTTTGATACTGATGTGTGTGTGTGTGTGTGTGTGTGTGTGTGTGTGTGTGCGTGTGCGTGCGAAGACTGGCATACTATCACGCATAGAGATGTAACTATTAATTAGCAAACATTATCCGTAATGCCTCCCTAGGCGTGTAAACTAATAATCTTATAGATATCTTTATCACCTCAGGTTTGCAAAGTTCACGATACGGTATTAAAACATAATATAAATTTATCGAACTCATCTTCGAGGTGTTGACTAACCGGAAGATCGCACATACATTGTTATAATGAATAGTAAATGAAAATTGACTGAGAAATGCAATTAAGCAAAGACTATATTCGGTCAAGGCAGATCTTAGTGCCTATGATATTTTTGTGTAAATTTTACCATTTTTAGTTCAATTTGCTTAATCATTAGGTGCCTAGATCTGCCTTGACCGAATATGATCTTCTTCGTTTAATTGTATTGTTATAATGTTCTTATATAACAAATGTGAATAACAATTAAACAACAAAAGACACACAAAAAGTGCAAACGACGAAACGAAGAAAAATAAAGAACCAACAAAAAGCTCGTTTCCCAGACATACTTAAGTGTTTTATTTTCGTTACAGTGCACATTGACATCTTGATTTTTTTTCACATTAAGGCGAGGGTCATGAGTACTTCTTTTCTCTTCATTTGACTTATCATTATCGTCACCTGTCGGATGCACGTACTTCGCTCTTTCTCGTACATGATGCTATTATTTCTGACCGTGGATTTCGAATCCATTTGTTCCTCGAACAATGTTCCTGCTATCGCACGCACGCTTCGCGGATCAAGAAAGCGGAAAGACCCCTATCTCGAAATGTGGTTTGTGTGTATGTGTATGTAGTGTACATGACGACGTCGCATGTGCAATCATGTGGTACTGTTGAAGCGATTCGATAAATCATCTAGAAACGCATTCTTTTTTTTTCTTTTTTTTTTTTACTTAATATCACATGATTACGCCTAATCTAATTTACGCCCTAAGCAACGCTAATCGTACGCAACATGTTACTATATGTCGCATTGAATGTACAAATTCGAGACTATTATTCTAATAAAGCCGGTAGTGCTGCATGTTGACTTGATACTTTGTTTGTGCTTCGTCGACATCGTGGGATCGAGAAACAATCCCGACAAACTAAGATCTTGCTAAGATTTCATACTACATGCATCCGAAAACGGACTCTATGTTCACTCGTGATAAGTTTATGAGGTTTAGTAAAGTCTATCTTGCAACGTCTACATCACGTCCGTTTCGCATCACGTGGAAAATTAAACTCATTGAAACTGTGTCAGTTTCAAATTCTCATTAAGTGTCACACTATACTCTGCCTAGTCGACAGTTTTGATCACGCGCTTCTTACTTCTTTTCTTTCCTTTTTTTAGTGCATCTTGTAACCAGTGCGCGAACACTTGAGTCTCATTTTTCCAGGATATCTTGGATCGACTGTTCAGTCTTTCGAACGTTCAGTCGTTCTCCGATGATGTTACATCGGCAGAGAAGGATCGTGTGTCACGTGTGAGAAAGAGGTAAATAGGTAAAGGTAGATCAAAAGTTTTCTGCGTGTGTTTTATTGTGCTCGCGTGTGTTATGTTGTCGTTAGTATAATATGCACTCTTGGTCATCATATGCGGCCCTGCTGATCAGTAATCAACTGGCAGAGGAACGCCTTTATTAAGATTACGAGGATCTGTAATCATATAGAAACAATACAACGCGTGGTCGTGGAGTAGAAATTGTGTCTAGAGTAATTACGAGGAAAAGGAGAGAAATATATGGCGGTGTCGTCATTAGGTCTATGTGGTATAAAATATGTGATTCGTTCAAAGTTGTTACGTTCGTGGGTCACTGGCATGCGCCGAAGTGGGCCTTCTCAAATGGTTGCAACTCAGCACGATGTTTGTAACTTAATATATTAGAAAAATTCCATTCGATCTCGCACAATATCGAAACTGATAAAACATTTTTGCGCATTTTCTCTTTTCTTTTTTCACGCTTGAGAATCACTCACTTTGCGCATGTACAAGATTTTATTCTCACTTTCTCTTTGCAAATCGACGAAGCGCACTGGATAGAAATGGGCGATGCACACATTTGTTTTCAATCCGGCGACGCTCGTGTAATAGAGATTATAAGCTCGGACAATATGTGATTGTGTGTATACAGTCGTACAAAGTTGGACTAGGTCTAAAAGAGCATCGTAACGCGAGTAGAACGCGATAATTCTTCATCTGATGTGTTATCTAGAATGATTGATCGTTTGCATCAGGGAATTCGTACGCTGGTAGTAAGATGAATTTTCACGCTTGAGATACTTGCTTCAGATCGCGAGTACACTTGGCGGAAGGAGACAAAGAGAGCGAAGCAGGCACAGGCATGTGTGTTCGTTGTGGTCACTCGTGACTCGAAAGCACATTTACTAATTTACTGACGATAAGATCGCGAATACGCTTGACTTAAGTCAATCCGCACATCATTGACTTCTCGTTCGACTTCTCATTCCTCTCTTAATCATAAGATCAGTTCGAGGTATCTCTTTCTCTAAAACTACATGTTTTTCTCAGATCATGGATCATCATTTATATTCGGTTGAGCGAGAGCACACTTCCCGTAATCTGTGTATTAATCCTCATGTGTATTCATGTATATGCATGTGTAACATGTCGTGTTTCTTGGTTCAATAAACGTCTGCATTATGCACATGATGAACTACACAGCATTCCGTAAAGAGCTCTCTCTACCTATACCGTCAAAATCAATCATTGCAACACGATCATAGTATATATATATAATATGTATGTGTATATATATATATATTGTGTATATATATATATATATTTACATTTACTATCTACATTATCTACACATCAACAAACTGTTAGATTTAGCATCTTCATCATAGTGAATTTGTAAATTGTATTTTCTTTCAAACGTAATATATTTCGCCTCGCATTTACCATCCATATCGTTTCCAATCATTCACACTTTCATTCTTTTATCACCATCATCATTATACATCTGCATTTACATTATCATCATCGTTATCATCATCATCATCATCATCATCATCATCATCATCATCATCATCATCATCATCATCATCATCATCATCATTATCATCATTATCATCATCTCATAATCATCATCATCATCATCATCATAATTATCTTTATATCGGTTAAATATGTAAACTCACGACTAGTTCGAAGTAACGATTATTATACAAAGTAATCATAATTCTTCGATTCTCTCTCGGTCAACTTACAATAACCACAAATCAAATTGACGAGTGACAATCTCATTCAAGAATATAAAAAAATAAAATAAATACCAACTTAAAAAAGACAGGGGAGTCAGGGGTTACGCGATATGCAAAAATAGACACACGCTATGATCGCATAACTTCGGGCCATGACAGTCTCTTTTTACCGTCCGCATCCCTTTCAAGGTTGCTTCTCGCCGATTTCACCATCTTCAGGCAATGCTATCGTTGTCTCTTCGTGCGGACATTGACGATTCATTTCTCTCCTCGGAGAATCATCATGTCTATCACTGGGCGAGATTTCCCCAAATGGTGATAGAGTTAATTGGTGTCGTGACAATATTGATCCGACTCAACTCTTCCGACAATGTCCTTAGAATAGTTAGTTTTCCTTTAATCTCTCTTGGAGACGAAATCTTCGTAAGATTCACAAGTTCAGGTTAAATTAGGCTGTGGTGATGGCGAAGGAGTGACAGGCTGGGAATATGAGGCCGTGTCCTATATGAACGCCCAACATTCCAGTGTTTTAACGACGAAATCTTCGCGTGGCGCCAACGACTCGTTGCCGTATGTACTGCAAGATTGTGTCCTACCCTGATATAGATCACCATCTAGCCAGAGCCCAAACTTGCCACTGAAAACAAGATCAATTCCGTAAAGCTCTCTTCAACAAAGGAATAGTGGTGCTTTTGAGAAAAAATGAGATAACTTACTCTCCAGCACCGATTGCTAAGCTCTCGTTATTGCCCTTGATGAAATACAGATTGTCCCCGGTCCAGTTGAAACACTGGAACCTCGGCGTAAACCTGAAGAGCAGAGATTCGCCGGTACCGTAAAAGTGATCGCTCACGTGTAACGAGCATGAGGTCAATGCACCAAATACCTGTGACAGAAAGAAGTGATTCATGAAGGCTGCGATATGTACACAGTAAAACCGAGAAAAAGATTATTTTACGTTTATATTTCGTTTTTTATTTTGCGCTTCGAATAAACAATCTAAATGGAAGAGAGCAATAAGCCAATTTAAACGGCTATAGGGCATTCGAAGTAAGCCAACACGAATATAACTTTGTGAAAATCCATATAATCTTTCGTTCAGACTAATTATGATAATCACAGAACTTTCTACTTCAAATTAATAGGTCAATTGACCTCGACATTTTACTAGATTGAATTGTTTTCCACTTATAATTAGTTTATCTTTCTGATAATATATACATTCAACAAGAAATCAGTTCAACAACGCACTTTTTTTTCTAATAAATAAATATATTATATTTTTAATACTTGTATATTTATTTAAAAAGCTGCTTTATAAAAGCTGATATATGTCACGTGCTAGATATGTGCTTAGATTTATTATTTGTGTACAATCTGATATATAATACAATATCAAGAAATATGTTTAAACATTAAAATTAAGGATTTAAAACAGAACTTACGTTTCCCTCTGTGTCTTCAATGACTAACAGGATCGGACTCTCGACCTTAGCCATTTTTCGATACATGCTATTGAGGCTGAAGCCATGCTGGCTAGTGCTGAAGACGAGAGTCCATTGGTAGCCCTCCGCTCTCGCGGGCAGATGACGACAGAGCTGTTCCCTGTGTTCATCGCTGAGTATTTCCGTCGTGCCGATGAGATCGGGCATGATAACGTCGTTGTCCAGAGAAATGGCACTGTTTGCGTAAAGAGCTCGCCTAAACTCCTCGCTCATAGACAGTACCTGTAAACAATGCATCATTTAACGTATTTTTCGAGATCATTTAACATATAGTTCGACATTGATACGTATATCGTGAATTCTAATCGAGGAGGTAAGAAGTAAAGTCGTCTCTACCAATGACAATTCCATGAAAAGATAACTGTGACACAGATGGATGTGAATGTTCTAAATGATGCTCTATTAGTACATATGGACGGCACGCTCATCAGTGTTTAATATATGTGGAATGAAATATTCTCCTAATGCCTATTAAACATAAAAACTATCTTGCAACATGCATATGATGTCTACTCTGAATATATGTTGAATAAAAAATTTTAGAGTATCGTAGAAGTCAAACAGATATTGGATCAGAGTCAGACAAGATATTGAAGTAATGATTAATTATGAAACAATAATATTGAAACAAACGTAACATGCTTTTTTAGTAAATATAATTGACAATTATTATATTTTATTATATGGATAACTAATTATATGGACAATTATTATATTATATTTTATGTATAGATACATAAAATTAATATATGTATTATAATAAATTAAAAATAAGATCGCTAAATGAAAAAATCAAGTAAGAAGAAACAACTATAACAATCAAAGTTAGATGATTTTGAAATAATAATTTTATATGATTTATTTTAAATACGTATATTTATTTCAGATATGTATAACTCCGCGCTGATTCTTTCGGGAATACAACTGAATTACAATACAATTAAATTGAAGTAATAATCTTACAAATTAAACTTAATCATAAATTTGAAGAACTATTGTAGCGAAAAATATTAATCCAACATCTAACTTTGACCGTAGTTCTTCTTAATTTATATATATATAATTTCATGTGAATAATTAACGTATACAATTTTATTAGATATTCTATGAATAATAAGTTATGCTAATAAATTTATTATTCTAATAAATCTAGAATTATCTTTAACAAATATTTTAGTTTTATACCGCCTGACTCAAAATCCTAAATAGCTTTAAAGTACGCGGAATTTTCTGTTTTTCTCACAAAATTCGAATATAAAAATGTGATAAGAAGTTGATAAAGAAGTTTTAACGTCCTTTTAACTTCTGACCTCCTCGGATTAACTAAATCTAAGCACATTTATAGGGCACTACCACATCCAAGTGTCGTGTTGTACTCTGTTGGTACGATCTCACAATCGCAGTGGGTGTTGCGTTTATTCAAGTCAATTGTGGATAATTATTAACGTGGGAGGCCACCGTGAAATGTGTGCCGATATTAAATTACTTTTGTTCGTCGCCCGTAATCACAGGAGTCGCTTAGCTTCGCCACGCATGATAATGCAATACGTGCGCGAGAGAATGCAAATGCCACGCGGTGCATATCCATACAGAGAACCCTCGATGATAGAACTCGAACTGTAGAAGCTACTATAAATGAATGGCCTTGGAATAAAATCGTATCGGAGTGATTGGGTGCCGCATCGGCTGTATCGCGATGAACCCGAAAGTCGGTGCATAAATGATGAGCAGAATACTGATGTCAAGTAGACGGAAATTATAATAGATTTAAGTAGAATAATTGATGCTTGAAACAAACGAGACAGTTCAATGAATTAATAAGATTAAAAATTAAAAAAAATCGAAATAGTCATCATGGAATTATATAAAATAATGAATATTTGTTTGATAAAAAATACTAAAATTAAATATAAAAATAAAGATTATTTAAGAGTAAAACAAATATTAATGCTTTCATGATGAATTTAATTATTTTTCCATTTTATTGCCTCATCTAGATAAAACATTTTTTTAATTATATAAAAAAATGTAATTACATTTATATAATATAATTACAATAATTACTATAACGATCTTTTCGCTAATTTTTATTAATAGAGAAAAATTAAGGATAATATGATATAACAAAACAATTAATCGAGTAAAAAATCTTCAAGAATGCAATAAAAATTATGATATACTGAATGAATACTGTTTCTCATCAAAATCGTGAGAAATATTACGTCTCGTAGAGTAGAAATTCAGATTGCTAGATTGAGGGTAACGCTACGCATCGTTAAATGTCATGTACAACACGATGTGTTATCGTGTGTTAAATTATTGGAAAGATCTATCGATTGATTCAAATAATGAAACGATTGACAGCGTGGCATAATGTCTACACCTGGAAGCGATAATAATTCACACACGCCTGAAAACGAAATGTGTCGTTACAACTTTATGTACAATTCTTACGAAATTGATAATTTTTAGTACTGATTGTAAGTCGCTATACGTGACAACAAAATGTGCTTCTGACAACTGTTTTGTATATATATATACATATATATATATTGCATAATATAGATTGGAGACACGAGCGAGAGAAATAAAACATTAATGATTATATCATGTTTACAGTGCAAATTACACACAAAGCATAGTGGGAGAGATTTGGATGTATCATATATGTTCTTGTATTCTTTTATATTTGAAAAATCTGTTACACACACACATGCTGTGTAAAGATGTACGTCATTTATTAAAAAAATTCTAAAATTAATTTCTTTCTTGCTGAAATGAAGTTTGAACTTCATTCATTTTGTAGTAGACTTCAAGATAAATTGCGGGAAAGATACTATGTTACATATTTTAACTGAGTATTGAATGTTTGAAGAATATCCGAATGACGTCAAAAGAACGGCGCAGGTTATCGCAAATATATAAATATAGTCGCCATTTGTTCATTTTTCTGATACAAGAATAATAAATCATTAAATTAGTACAATGAATTTTATGTTACAAACGTAATAAAAATAATACGACATTTCTCAAATGGTATTATTACACATCAATTATCACTCAACATACATGTGTATTTTCATTATTTATGAATTCACAAAGGAAAAAATTATATTACAAAAAGACTGGCTGTTATGTTTTCAACATTATCAGTCATTATTAAATAAATCTGTCTTTGTATAAAAAAAAATACAAAAAATTTCGATAACCTTTGATCTCGCGATTGGAAGAATTTTAGTTTTCATACGAATGTTTATTATGGATGACAGCTGCCCTGTGACTTCGTCAGATAATGTTATTCTAGCATGTAAAATGTCTGATGAGAAGAAAGATCAACAAGTATTACAAACTCAGAAAAGTTGAGTAAAACTAAATTTATATCTTTTTCTTAAATTTAAATTGTTTTTAGCTCATTAAAGTTTTATAATATATTAATATAAAAATAGGATATGTTATAGATATATGATATAAATATATTAACATATTATAATTAATATTAATGTAATCGATGTTAATAAATTAAAATTAATGGGGATTCCCAAAAGCAAATTAATTCTTACACTTTTTTTATCTACTCAGGATTATTACAATTCTCGTTAAAATTTTTGGACGATAATAAATTTCTTTAATAATTAATAAAATATGCAAATAGATACACATAAGTTAATGACTATATAATTCAGATTCTCCTCAATTTATGGAAGAAAAAAAGATCCAGAAATTGATATCTTGATTAGAATAATATTTCTCCTACGGGAATAGAAGCAAAACGTTTGTTCATATATATAGATTGTATTATCGCGGCATGTGGGACTGCAAGCCTATCGTACTTTTGACATTCGTCGTCTCTCACACGGACGGATATAAAAATATCATCACTGCCGGTCCATCAGTTCTTCATTGCGAGGTTTTTCAAAGCTTATTATCATTATCGACCACTTCACTGGGCATCGTGTTAATTTCGATTTGATAATGACACGCTTCCAGATGTTTCGCGCAAACAGCTCGTTAGCCAATGCAATTATATCAGTTTTTTAATTATCCGGGAGAATAATAGTGAGTCGTTATAAACAATTTCCTATCATTTATGGACATAAAAAGATCCACGCGAATATCTGTCGTCTATTTTGTGAAGATTAATTAACCTTCATATTTAGATATGTATATTAATTTCTTTAATTCAGATATTATATTCTAATAAAATCAACATCAATAATAATTATTTTATATTAATAATTTAAAACAAATATTTTAACAAAATATTTGAAGAATAGATATTTAACATAAAAAATAATTAAATCAATAAGCGAAATAAAATTTGCAGAATTAATTTAGAGAGAGGATTACATTAAAATCTCCTATAAAAAATTCTCTCTCTACCAAAGTTTTTATTAATACTGTTTAATTGATATCAAATTAAATCAATAATATATTTAATATGAATATTTAATATGTATTAATTTACTGATTTTTATATTATTAAAAATTTTTGATTTGTTATTTGAAGTCGATTCTGTTAAATAGATAGATTCCCACACATGCATTGAAGATAATGAATCTACATATATCTGATCAAATACACATATCAAAGATATAATTAATACAAATTAAATACCAAACGAATTACAATATTTAATTAATCGTAATATACAAGAAAACCGGTAAAGATCAGTAAAATTGTAGTTTTCAATTTATAAAATACCTTTATAAATTGTTTTATGTCAGATTTAGATTTTAACTTGGATTATATGACGTATATAGTATATTAACTTCAAGTTCGCTTCAATCGCTGATTTTGTTGCGTAAATTTCTTCAAGTGTTTAGTAACATAAAAACTAATATGATTGTTTTGTTATTTAATATATGTATATATGCACACATATAATGATATGGACTATGCCAGTCGCGAACCTGATATTAATTAAACTCAATGTTAGCAAAAAGATGGTAATAAAATCTCTTTTTATTGATTTCATTCAATGCAATTCCATTAAGAAAATAACTTTTTATATTTTGTATATAAAAAAATCAAAGCGATCATTTAAATAAGAAAATAATCTATTTCTTTTCGTACTTTATGCTGTTATTGTACTGTTCAAGATCATTCTTTTACAAGAAGTTTTTATAAGAGCACAGAAACGAAAAGAATGAAACGTCGCGCGTCCTTGTCACAGTTCGCGCAGTTTATAATGTTAAACTCGCTTGCAATTATTACGTTGAGC